AAGTAACTAACACAGCAAGCATGTTTCTGTAGAGTTACAGGTAGTTAACTAGAGCACGGGATGAAGGACTATGAATGCAATCAGGGTGATTTCTCAATTTCTAAAATTTGTATTGTTGTTTAATAAAGGAAAGCCCAAGAGAAATTACTGGTAGATACATTCATCATATTGAACAAGATTGTGGTAAGGGTTTGAGAAAACTGCGTATGAATTACAAATTCTGGTTCAGGTTACTGCAGAGTTATTGCAAGAAAACTGCTGTCTCGTGAGTCATTTTGTTAGTCAGCACTGGTGGATGCATACTGATTTTTCAATACGTGTCGATTTGGTGGAAATAACCAGGAGCACTAAACTTGAAGGAGCTGTTCCTGAGGCCGTGGATATGCTGAGGAAGGAGCTGGGAAGAGACAGGGCAGTATGAACTTGACCAGCTTCGGCTTTTTGGGGTGAATTGGGATGAGCAATAACCCATCAAGAGCTGAGCAAAGAAGTTGAGCCTTTTATAAGAGGTCTATCAAATGGAGAAAAATGGCTAGCTCGCGCACAGAAGCAGAAAAACAGCTGGATCAGGCAGGATCCAGCCTAACTGGCCACAGCCGCGGGGGGGGGAACTTGTTTGCCATGGGTGGTCCCAAAGGAAGAGTGGGCACAAAGGATGCTGTATTAGGGGTTTCTGTAGCCTAATGGTCTGCCAGCATCACTGGCCTTTCCCTACTCTTCTCATCATTAGTCAGGTCACGGTCTTATATGACTGGCGGGGTTTTATCCTCGCCCCCCCGTCCCAGTATGGGAGCTGCAGCCACTCCTCAATAATGCATTTAGAGACTCTGAGACAAGATTTTTCTTCCTGAGTATCTGTTATGTAAACTATGAGTTCTTCCTGAAGCTTTAATTTCTAGTCCAAATACCGCCAAATGCGTGAGCCTCCAGGAGAAAGGTGTACGTTGGGTGACAAACAGAGCCAAGAGAGAAGGCAGGCCAAGCCTCAAGGGATGGCTGGGGATAATCCCAGTCTCCAGCTCTGGGAAGACACTGCTGGACTGAGCACTAGCACCAGAGAATTGCCCAAGCTAGGGAAACCGCTTTAATTGTGCGGGGAATTTGACTGCCGGATTCCTCTAAGGCAAGAGGTGATGGCACAAGAAGTGGTGGAAATGACCACATCTCTAATGCACCAAAAGCCAGAGGACTCCCGCTGTCAGAGGACAGTGATGCCTTCCAACACGTGGTTCATACATGAGGCGGAATGCGTATGTCCCGTCTAAGAAAGGCATTACCAGCATGTGCAAGCTGCAAAATACGGCATTCAGAAAGTATAGGCGTTCAAGGATTAAGGCTGCTCAAGCAACTGCAGTTTGGACTCCCTTCTGCTAATGCTTTTTTTGATGGCAACCTTAATTACTTGACCAGATAAGGATCCTCCCCGCAGAACTGCTGCCGCACGGGCAGTGCTATTAGTTGCAGCATAGACCTTCCTGTTAGCTGAAAAGTGAAGGTACTCCTTAGTGCTCCACCAGTCTCAATATGACGTTGCTTCCTATAAGCAACCCATTTCTGTGATAGGGACAACTTTCAGGAAAACACAAGAGGTTTTAGGGGAAAAAAAAGGTGTCTGGAGTTATTTTAATTTTAAAGGATTTATTAGGAGGGAGGCACATGCAACAGGGTCAGTCTCTCAGCCATATCTTCACCTTAGAAAACCAGTGCAGCTCCACTGTAATCACAGTTATCTTAGCTGTCAAATTTAAAACGATAGGTGTCGTGTAGGTACAAGCAATACATGATATACATCCTAAGTGTTTACTATGACTGTGAAGCATCGCCTGTATCGCAGTGTGCTAAAGCCTGTTTCCAAGGAGGAAAAACCAGCATGCAGCTGACAGCTGTTCCCTCACTGAGCAAATGCTTCTTCATAGGCATCACAACCCTCAGCTAGCTATTTCAAAAAGGAGACGGGGGGCCTTCATCAGAGTTGATTATTGCCAGAAAGAATAAGCTGCAGCCTTATTGTCCTGTTAGCCTGATTTATAAGGGTTTTTTCTATCGCCGTTTGTCTGTTTGTTTTCCACTGGCCTGGTAAAGTTTGCCAGGCTCAGCGAGGTGGGAAGAAAGGACTCATTATTTTGCACTTGAGCTTGGTATTGCTCTCCCATGGCTTTTTCCACACACTTCTATGGAACATGTTGAATTCGCATGCGATCAAAATCACTTTTGCAACTCATTTTTTACCTCTATGTGGCTGTTTCTCTATTTGGAGTGAGAGATAGCATGCTACTCCCCTGGACTAAAGCATGGAGACGTGAATTAACGTCCTCCACTCGATGCAGCCGAGCACACTCCAGTATTAAAAGCAACCGCTCAGCCCAAGGGAATGAACTTACCCCTAACGCAGCCTAGGTCTCGGGCAGTCTCAGTGCCCCATCAAAAAGTAACTCAGTTCAGTCACCGATACGAAAAAAGAAAAGATTTAAATTGAGGGTTATTTTAATTTTCAGAATATTGCCGACTGCTGCATCTTCTTCTGTCTCCCCCCCCCCCCCCCCCGATGTTTTGCCGAATTTTCTTCCAGACTCTCAGAGGAGGGACTGTAACCATGCATAACAATATAAAAAAGAAATTATAGTTATAACCAGAAGACGGCAATCCAAACCCGAGGAAAGAGCCACTTCAGCGAACACGGGGGACGAAAGGTCATTGTTCCTCCACCAACCCGTAGATGCCACGGCACAGCGAGAACGCAAAGGTATCCTTAACCCCTAGCTGCAAGTCCAGTCACAAGAGCCCAAGCAAACTTTGGGGGCACAAGCTGGGCTTTCTTTCAGCTCTGTCAGGTTTTCAGCCTACTCATATCACTGCAGTTACATTGCATAAAATACAAAGCAAGAACACGCAATCAGATAGCGAACACTCACTACCGTGGGGTTTTACCTGAAACGAATGTTAAGTCGCGCTGTGCCTCCAGTCCCATCTCAGAAGTCATTAAAAATAAAAAGTAAGAAAAGAGGTAAGTTCACACAGCAATTACCGAGCAGAATTTATCACATCCTCTTGAAGCACATGCTGAGAGGTTTTGGTGAATCGAGGCCACGGGGGCTGCCAGGGACGGCCTGGTGCTGCCCCCCGAGAGCTGTGCACCA